TTAAGAAAACCGGTTAGTCACAAGTAAATTAGGATTTTTGAGAAAAATCTTAGGGTTTCTAATCTTTTAAAACAAAATAAGGTTTTAAATCAAACCCAAAGAAATACACTTTAGTATTTTCTTTACAAACAATCTCCTAATTTTTGGGGTATCACATAAGGCACACTTGAGGGTTCAGACGTCCACCGTGGGATCCTCTCGAAGGTCCTCTTGAATGTCTGAATAATTAATAATAACAATTCGCACTATCGCTTAAAACCCCTAATTATCGAAAAAGATTGTACTAGTGTACAATCTAAGAAGATATCACGAAAATGAGCCTTAATTACTCGCAAATCAAAACTCAAAAATGGGTTTTAAAACACAAGAGAAATTTGATTTTCATCTTTGAAATCAAGTGTAAAGCGGTCAAGTGATATCGAAGGAATATGAAGAGTTCTAAAAGCACAATTTCATTTAAGTTCGGAAATTTCAGATTTGATAAGCAATATTTGAAAAATCACATCTCACACTCTGAAGGTCCAAAATTGGAAAACATGGTACTGTTGGAAACTACTCCCAAAGTACTAAAAGTTCCTAGAAGACATTTTTCCATGATTCAAAATGGATGACATTCAAAATCCGGCTCAAATTTGCTGTTTTGGAATATCAAGACAGTTTCGAGGTTGTTTTTGGCCAACTTTGGAAACTCGAAAAAATTCATAGAACGTGAACTAGCTGTTGAAATTTGAAACGCAATTCGATTACAATCAAAGTTTAAAACACAAAAAAAGGAACAAGAATCGGAGTTTTGAGCACTAAGATATAACAGCTCAAAGTTGTTGAAATTCCTCATTGGACAAGGGTTTTGCAGATTTAAAACATGAAATTTAAGACTTTGGTTGAGCATCGAAATTGATTTAGAATATCGCCAAATTTGGTAGTATTACCCTACCATATAAGGGCTATTCCTCTGTCAAATTTCATGTAAAAATTCATACGAAAAGTCAGTTAACAAAGCCACTAAATTTTCAAGAATTTTCAAGGCAAATCTGCCTTGTACTTCATTTTCCCTTTTCTAACTTTTGGGTCAATGATATCACCTCAAACATGGTTCATTTATGAGGACAAGGTCTAATAAACATCCAAGATACTTTTGGTAGGTGGTTCACACCAAGAATTTCAAAATAACTAGTCCCAATTCAAATTAAGGCATTCAACTAGCCAAAAGAGGGTTTTCCATTACTGAGACAGTTTCGCAATTCGGCCATAACTCACTCAATTCAACTTGGAATTGAGCGTGGTTGGTGGCGTTGAAAAATACATTTATAAGGCTACAATTCAGGAACTATTTTAAAATTTTGTCCATAACTAACTCATTTTCAGGCAAAAAGTTGCATCTCATAACAGGTTTTCTAACATAGCCGAGAAACAGGGCAGGTGATTTTGAAAGGCTGGTATGGTTCACTCAAGTGAAATCAGGGGATGCATTTTATACCGTTAGAAAACTGGAAGTATCTAGTTTCTAATGCTACAAACAACACTCAATTTTGACATCAGACCAAAGAGTTATGGTCGATTTAAAATCGCTGCCAGAGCAATTCCGGACAGTTTTCCGGCCATGAACTTAATAATAGGATGAACATTTGGAATCCAAATTCAGCTAAGGATTGGTTGGATCTGACAGGTTGGATGACTGTTAAACCAAGTTTCTTCTGGTACATGGTTTTAATCATATCATATGCTAGTCTATCATAAGACATACTCCCTTCCCTGCATTATGCATGATAGTATTTGAGTTGCCTTAATGCTTTAGAAAGTTGAGAATATAACTACTATAAAACAAAATCTAGATAACATGTGGGGCAGGCATTACTGCATATTTTGCCTTATTACACAGTACTAGTTATTGATCTAGAGTATGATGTATAAACTCTCGCAACTAGCTTCCAGATAAGGAAACTATTAAATAGTTCATGACATCTCAAAATAGGAAACTTGGCTTGAAGTGGGCATTATTTCTTGGAATCTGTTTTATTACTTTTGTACCTTATTTCTTAGAAATGTTATTCTAAATTTCTGTTTTGGCTAATCAGAATCTTCTGTATTGGTTATTAAATGTGTTTTGATTAAGGAATATACAGCTCTCCATTCAACTCATTTCAAGGTTCATCATCAAGTCTTATGATAGAGCAAAATAATGAAGACGTGGAACAATTGAACTATAACGAAGAAAGAGCTGATGAGATGAGTGAAGAAGAGAGAAATGATAGAAGATGAGGGCAATGAAAGAGAACAGCAAGTAGATGGAGATGAAGGAGCTGGTTCTTTTGAGAAAAAGCAAAGGAAGAAGAAATCCAACATATGGGATGAAATGACAACAGTAGTGCTATATAATGGGACGGTCAAAATGAAGTGCAACCATTGCATGCCAAGAGTGCAACCGAAGCCACATCTCAGCACAAGAGAGACTTGAATTCTTGCCTACAAAGAAAGATAACCATTGGGGAGCAAAGCAAACAAAAGCAACAAGTGCTGTCATTCACCGAAGGCCCAAGTGATGGTATCACTTCCATTACAAATTTCTCGCATGATCATGCCAAGGTAAGAGAGATTGCATCACACATGATTCTTGCGCATGAGTACCCCATTTCTATAATGGAACATGTAGTTTTCAACAAATTCATGAAAGCGGTTTCTCTATTTTATAAAAAGATTAATTGGCAGACTGTTAAGGAAGATTGCATTAGTACTTATACAATTGATAAAAGGAAGCCGAAATCATTGTTGAAAGGTGCTGGTAGGATTAGTATTACCACAGATTTATGGAAATCTGGTCAAAAAAATTCAATATATGGTTGTGACTGTTCATTTTATTGATTCTGATTGGGTGCTACAAAAACGTGTGTTGAATTTTTGCAATGTTCCTCCTCCCCATACTGGAGTCATTATAGGTGATGCTCTAAGTAAGTGCTTTATTGATTGGGGGATTGAGAATAAGGTTTCTAGCATAACTGTTGATAATGCTTCATACAATGATGTGTGCATTAGGAGATTTAAAGAGGATTTTGCTCTAAGAAAGAGATTAAGTATTGGAGGAAAAAATTTTCATGTTAGATGTTGTGCACATATACTTAATCTCTTAGTGCAAGATAATCTTGGTCAACTTGGTGGTATGATTGATGTTGTTAGAGAAGGGATAAAGTACTTGAACAATTCTGAATCTAGGCTTCTTGAATTTGCTAAAATTTAAAAACAGCTTCAGTTGCCCTCTAGAAAGCTATTTTTAACAACGTGGAATAGCACCTATTTGATGTTAGATTCGGGTTTAGAGTTTAAGGATGCCTTTCCAAGATATGCAGACATTGACCCCGGATTTCACCATGTTCCTACTTGTTTTGAGTGGATGAAAGTGGAAGAAGTGTGCAAATTTCTAGAAATATTTCATGAAATCACTGATATGATTTCCGGGTCCAAGTATCCAACCGCTAACATTTTTCTTGTGAAACTCTATAGGATTAAAGAGCTTTTAAATGAAAAAGCTCTTGACTCTTTTGGAGTATATCCGAGCTATGGTTGGAAGTATGTCTGCTAAATTTGATAAGCATTGGGGGGAAAGTATTGTGCTGCTATCTTTGGGTGCAATTTTGGATCCGAGATACAAAATGTTTCTTATTAATCATACTTTTCCGGTGATTTATGGTAATCATACTTTTCCGGTGATTTATGAGATTAGAGACATTCTTTATGAGTTTTATAATGAATATGTTGATTGTCACATTGTTTCCCATTCTGAACAACAACAGAGGCAGGTTGTAAAAAGAAGACAAAATAAAGATTCTAGTTCTTCTAGTAAGAAACAGAAAATGACTGGACCTGCTATTTTAACTGGTAAAGAAAAGTTTCACATGCATGTGAGTGAATTTGACAGGGCTCCACCAGAAAAATCAGATTTAGATGTTTATTTATAGGAAAGTAGGTATGCTTGTGATGCAAATGCAAATCTAGATGTTTTGGGTTGGTGGAAAGGGGAAAGATTGAGATTTCCTATCTTGTCGAGGATGGCTGCCGATATACTTTCCATTCCTGTTACAACTGTGGCTTCAAAATCTACCTTCAGCACCGGAGGTAGAGTAATTGCTGATCGATGAGCTTCTATGTCAGTTGAGACGGTGCAAATGTTGCTTTGCAGCAACGATTGGATCCGCAGTCTTCATGGCCTAAAGAATAAGTCTCGCGTAAGTAATTAATTGGATGTTTTTGTTGTTGTTACAGTTTCTTTATATCTGATTTTGAAGAATTTTATAACTTTCATACTTTTGTTTTGCAGGAATCACTTGATGCTGCCGAATCAATCACATTTGAAGAAGTTGAACTTCCTGAATCGTTCACAACCTGATTTGGTGGCTGTTGATGTTGCTTGGTGGCTGTTTATGTAATTTTTCATGTTGTAATCTGATCTGGTTTGGACATGTTGTAATCTGATCTAGTTTGGACATTTTGGTTTGGACATGTTGTTATTTGATCTGCTTTGGACATTTTGGTTTGGACATGTTGTAATCTGATCTGGTTTGGACATTGTAATCCGAGCTTGGGCATTTTGCTCCTCCATTTGATGGTTTTTGCTGTAGTTTTAACTTCTTTTAACTCCATAAATATTAGGTTCTAGCTTTTTATAGTCAAGCTTGTTGCAGTATTAGACTCTGCCTTGTATTGTCATTTGGCATGGCTTGTCGAATTGAAGATGATATATCAGGGAATGTGTATCTTCTTTGTTCAGGCTAAATATGAGTGTAACAAAAGCTGATATGATGTCTCCCATAAACGAGCTCGAGCTCAAAAAGCTCGGGCTCAAAAAGCTCGGCTCGAGTTCCACTCGAGCTCAAGTTTTCTATCCAGTACATCGAGTCGATCTTGAACGCCTTGTGAAGCTCAAATTATTAATGGAGCTAGCTCGATTAGAGGTTTGAGTCGAACTCGATTGTCATATGCTCGAGCTTGACTCGGCTCGTTTTACGGCTCTAATTATTGACTAATGGAAATGGACTTGTATATTCTTGGGTTGGTGTAGAGTATAACTTCTCGGCATTACACTTAATCCTGTCATAATAGATGCAGTAGGATTTTGAATCTCCTTGTTTGATTGTGTTCATGAAATCTTCAATTGTCTGTTGTTCTAATGCCTCCGTATAGCACTCATGTGATTTGAATGTTCCCCATTCACAAAAAACTCCATATTTGGAAATGTAATCCCGTATAGCTCTTGCATCTCTTGCAGCTTGTATATTTGGATGATATACTTGAGATCTTTGTTGGCATACTAAATCGAATACTCTATCATCTCTTGTTTGGAACTTGTCTACAAATTGGACGAGTACCTGTAGGTGTGAAGTACCGTCTTCATGCATCTCTGAGGATACTCTCACGTATGAAGGTTGATTATTGGTGAATTTATCAAGGAGTTTTTCAAGACATAATTCTTTTGAAATATCACATCTAGAATATGTGATGAAAATATTTTTTTGCAGCGAGGCGGAAGATGCTCCTAGTAATCCTCCATGAATGCCATCACCTTCGACAGTGCCAACAATGTCAAACAATTCAGGGTCGAGAAGGCCGCGGACTTCAAATAATATCAAATCCAGATGAGCGAGAATCAGGTTGAAGTCCGCCATCAAATGCACGACACGTGGAAATCATCCATATCACCCGTGATATAAACAGTATTAAATATATGCACAGTGATAATATACCAAAACGACGCAGTTCAGGCCTTGGAACTGTGCAGAATAAACTAAATATACTAATTATATTCAAAATAAAAATGATCATCAGATCAAATCCATGTGGCAGGATCAAACGCACCAGAGAGAGCCACTTGGAGAAGTAACTGTACTAGGGAGACCCATCTTCTACAGTGAAAAACCACTAAATAATACACCAGGGGTATAACGATCATTTGGCACTGGGCACTCTAGAGGGTATTTCTGTCTTTTTGTATGGTGAACAGTTTCCAAACAGTGCCCAGAATAGTGAATTACAGTAGTTTCTACAGTGATCTATGGTGAAAATGACACCATGGCCACCGCGGAACAGTAACTTTTTCCTGTAGAAATTACAGGAAAAAGTGCAAAAATAGACCAATCACAGCACGCCACATCAGCATCTGACACGTGGGCCCCACAGCCCTCTATAGGAATCCCATATATAGAGGGCTGGGATTGTGCCACGTTACCTACACCCACATAAGTAAGAAATATTTGCCCTTGGATCATGCTACAGTGAAAGTGACACCAACAAATAATATATTTAGAGACTTATGATAGGCACTGTAGCGTGGTGATAATTCCAGAACCTTCCCAGAACGACACCGTATAATCAGGTTTGCGAAACAGTATGAATTCCAGAACCTTCCAAGATACGACATCTTTTAATAATAAACATGTTATTAAAATGGATTTACAAAATTTAAAAATATAAAATATAATCATATTAAATATTATTATAACCTATAGATTAATCAAATTAGGCACTCATTCATCACAAATATCACTGTAATAAAATCTCTGACATGAGTATAACATATTATATAATACTCACAAGCCATCTTATTACTATCACATTAGAAAATAAAAATTACAAATTATTTCTTCATATTTTTTTGTCATCATCCTCTTGGATCATAAATCACCCAACAAATCTCAAAATGTGATGTATCATCATTGAGCTCTACGTATTTTGTATGAGTATTTTCTCTGAGTATGTTGAATGTATGTATATGTATTTTGTATGTATATCGTATTTCTATACCTTCTAGAATCGTATAATTATACGATTCGTGCTCAGCGAGCAGGCGAGAAATATATTTCAAATTATTCCAATGATTACGCTTTATTAAAGATGGATCATTATGTCTAACATTTAGCCGACAATAATTATTACACCTGTCCCATCATGAACAGTTATATTTCGAATCCAATGTATTAACTTCAGGTAAATCACGTGTGTGGGGTATACAATGTCCCCACCAATCTAGAATACAATGATTATGTTCCCATTTAATATGTTTAATATATTTTCAATTCCGGAATTCGATCAAGTCGAATTTAATTACAAGACAAATATAATCATGTCCCCATGACACATGGCATAATAACAAATTGAATAAGGGATAATTATTACATATAAATGACGTATGCTGATGTCAGCATAAATGAGTCTCAAAATTTCTAAGTGTTGACAACTAAAGTCCCAGTTACGGTGCACGTCATTTGGGCTTGTCATATGACTACATACATGATCAATCACAATCCAATTACACCAGGCCCAAAAGGCCCAATTACTGTATTAATTAATTCAAATGGCCCAGTTATGTTCATCATCTTCATCACAATACTGAGGTCGGATGATAGAAAGTAGCAGATGGCGTGCAACAGCCTTGCGGGCACATTTTTAACTAAATGATTCTGTCCGGAACCATTATCGGAAAGGGATTTTCAATTCCAGATCACATTAAGTAGTACAATTTAATTAATTAAATTGTGTTCGACAATATCAGCAGCAACATCATATAAATTACACATAACACCATTAACAATTAAGAACACTTAATTATGGATAAATATCTATTCGTTAACATGTATATCACATCCTATTACATTATCACAAGCTTCGCACTCACAACCAAAGATCAAATCAGTGGATGTCAAATATAAAAGCCTAATACAATCATCGTGACTGCTAAATAGAATGTGATCATCTAGATGAATACAAAATCTAGGCAGATAAGACGATACGTCATCATCGAATACAAAATTAACGTACTCTCCCTTGGATTCAACATAAATCCTAAAGGCCATGAGAAAACTGCTTGGTGTGTGATTTATCCGAAACATGACTGTTAATGTATTCCACGGTCTCAAAAATGGTCTTATTTGACGTTGTCCCTGCAATTGGATGTGAAACGGTGTTGGTGTTGGAAATAGTGGTATTGCGTTTCTGTTGATGATCACATCCATCTTCCTCAGCGAGCAACTTGCGAAAAAGTGTCTTCGGAGTTGTTCGAGCTCGCTTGAGGTGTCTCCTGTGTCTGACTTTGACTTCCCTGATTTTCTGCTTCAGAGCTGGAGGCTCTGTTGTTTTCCTGATACAGTGGCTCGGAGATGAATATGAATTTTGCATTGTTTTCCATCCAGTCCCTTAATGCTTTCTTATCGGCTCTGTCCAAATAATCTCTATATGATGAATCTGGACCTGGATTACACAATATGATAGCTGGAATTCCTCCTTTGATCAAAGACTGGTTTGCTGTATTTGCAGTTTGATACCCAGTCCTTTTGAGCCCCGATGAACTCTTTATAATGCTTGAGGTATTGTGGATTGACGTCATCAATGATGTTGTACCAGGCATCGTTGCTGTACACTTTGTTATTCAAATCTAAATACCCACACAAATAATTATGTGGACCCAATGACCTGGCCCATATTGTTTTTCCTAATTTGGATGGGCTTTCGACAATAATGGACATTGGTTTGTTGGGCCTAGATTCAATGGACTTTATATTTGTATTAGCCCAGTCTAGTAATTCATATGGAACATTGTCAACTAATGGAAATGGACTTGTATATTCTTGACTTGCTGTACAGTATAACTTCTCGGCATTGCATTTAATCCTGTCATAAAATATGCAGTAAGATTTTGGATCTCTTTCTTTGATTGTGTTCATGAAATCTTCAATTGTTTCTTGTTCTAGTGCCTCCGTATAGCATTCATGTTGATTTCTATATATCTTACCGGATTTGAACGTTCCCCACTCACAGAAATCTCCATATTTGGAAATATAATCTCGTACAGCTCTTGCATCTCTAGTAGCTTGTATATTTGGATGATGCACTTGAGATCTTTGCTGGCATACTAAATCGAATACTCTATCATCTCTTGTTTGGAACTTGTCTGCAAATTGGACAAGTACGTGTAGGTGTGGAGTGCCGTCTTCATGTAGCTCTGAAGATATCTCACATATGAAGGTTGATTATTGGTGAATTTATCAAGGAGTTTTTGAAGACATAATTCTTTTGAAATATCACATCTAGAATATGTGATGAAAATATTTTTTGCACCGAGGCGGAAAGAACTTGTTCTTGGCATTGTAATTGTCAGAAATAAATGCAGGTGATAATATCACTCTCGAAAATAATAAAATGCCTTGCGAGGAATCCGTTATTTATAATGTGCGCGCAGGACGCTCTCATAATTAATTGTAATGGCATATTCGTAAATACTAGCAGGTAACCGGAACCAGTGAATAGTGGCACTTCAAAACTCTGATATTATTATTTCTTGATGTCACTTTTTTTTTTTTTAATCAAAACCTTTATTAATGGTAAGAAAATTACAATGGAGAGGAGCTAAAACGCCCTGTCATGAAAAGCAGTCCTACATAGTAACTAAGGCTTCCATTGCCGGCGAATGTAAGGATAGCTAACTCTGTCTAACTGAAGAAGCCCACGAATGTCCCTTGGAAAAGAGGTAGCACAGTAGGATGAGGACGCACGAGACGTGCTGGCTAATTTGGCAAGCGAGTCCGCCACAGCATTGAGCTCTCTGTAGCAATGATGCAAGACCGAGGTGAAGTCCTCAAGTAGATGTCGAATGTGGCAAACCACCCCCCAAATCCTCCACGGACACTTCATCTCACGTCGTACTACCTTGAGGAGCGTCAGCGAGTCAATTTCAATCTCAACGTGGGGGAAGCCATGAGATTTGCAAAGCTGTAACCCTTCGAGGAGAGCCATTGCTTCAGCACTCATATTGGTCTGCCAACCATAGAAAGTGGAAAAACCATAGAGTAGCCTCCCCTCGCTATCCCGGATGAGGCCTCCTCCCCCTGCATCTCCCGGGTTCCCAAGAGAAGAACCATCAACATTTAACTTCAGGTAGCCCATGGGAGGGACCATCCAACGGATTATACGGAGCCGAGCCCTGGGTGGCTGCTTAAGGAAAGGCACAAGGCCTTGAGTCCAGCAGCGTTTATCTTCAGGAGTAGAACATGTGAAAGGAGTGGCCCTTGCTATGAGCTGGAGCTCCTTAACAATGTGATTGAATATGACATGCACTGGAGCAACAACCCCCTCAAAGTAAGCCAGATTGCGAAATTTTCACAGTGCCCAACAGATGAGTGCCGGTAATAAACGATAGCAATTCGCGACAAAGCCATTGCCAGATGAGTGCATCCACCAGTTCTGAAGTTGCATAAGAATCTCGTCCGCTCTATCCGTTCGAAAGTGCAGCAGGAGCCCCAGGCGATGCCAAACAGCAGTTGCGACTTCACAAGTGAGAAATACATGCTCCAGTGTTTCCACATGATTGCAGAAAACACACTTAGAGGGTAGGTGAAAGCCAAATTTACTGAGAATATCCGGGAGGGGAAGAAGCGCGTTCAGCAAACGCCACATGAATATCGAGATCTTGCGAGGCAGGCGTTGATCCCAAATGAGTGTACGGGAGAGTAAAGAGGCCCCTCGATGGCGCCTTCTCAACACAGCAGATTTGATAGAGAACTCGCCATTCGGGTTAGGCTGCCAAATAAGGAAATCCTTTTCATTAGAGAGAAAAGGAGGGAAGGACCGAATCTGCTGAATCTCCACGCTGGATAAAGCACCTTCAATAGGCGCCAAGTCCCAACCCCCTTCGCTGATACACTCTCGGATCGTGAGGGAAGGACTGGGAAGGTTAACCTTTCCGACAGCCAAAGCCCCTGAGCCGAGCCAATTGTCGAACCAGAAAGAACAGGTCCCCCCAGCAATCATCCATTGAGAGTTCTCCTCCACAAAGGCCCGGCAGCGCAACATACGCTTCCAGGTGGCCGACCCATTGGTGGTCTCCTGAATCTGCGTGATGTGCCCCTCTCTCTTCCCATATTTCGCTAGCAGAAAACGAGACCAAAGAGTGGAAGATGTACGAAATCTCCACCAGAGTTTGCAAGCAAAACCCGCTGCAATTTCTTCCAGTGACTGAAAACCTAGACCATCCTCCTCAACTGGCTTGCACAGATCCCTCCATCGACGCCAATGTCGCTTCTCTTTCCCAGCTGCTTCGCCCCAGAAAAAGGAAGCCATAAGCTGTTCTATCTGCCTCAACACGCTCTTCGGAAGCTCTAAGACTGCCATGGCATACTTTGGGATAGCTGAAAGGACGTGCTTGATGAGTATAGCCCGGCCACCAGGCGATAAAAGTTTAGTCTTCCATCCAGCTAACTTCAGCCTCAGTTTATCAATCAAGTGCTGAAAATGCCTCCTTGCCGGCCGTCCTTTCGAGATCATACATCCCAGGTATCTGATGGGTAATTTACAATGCTTAAAGCCAAGCCAAGTGGTTATGGATCGCAGCCTTGCTGCTGAACATTTAGAAGAGGTAAGGAAAGAGCTCTTGGATTTATTCACTCGTTGGCCTGTCCCCTCCTGATAGATGGCGAGAAAATCGAGCATTTCTTTAATATCCGACCTGAGCCCCCGCATGAACACTAACACATCATCCGCAAAGCTAAGGTGGGTGATGGAGAAACAGCCTCTTGAGAGAGCGAAAGGGGAGATCTTGGTCGAGGCGAGCAGCTCATTTAGCCCTCGGCTAAGGCTATCAGCAACCAGCAGAAATAAATAAGGAGAAAGGGGGTCTCCCTGTTTAACCCCCCGCCCACTTTGGAAGAATCCATAGGTTCGACCATTAACGAGAACCGAGAACCAAGCTCCTTTTAGGTTATTCATGACCAAGGTAATGAACCAATGACTAAATCCAAACTTCTGCAGCAATTTGGAGAGAAAATGCCAAGAAACACTGTCAAAAGCTTTCATGATATCTAATTTGAGGACCAGGTTATGACCTCGTACTTTCTTGTCAAGTGACTCTAGTATTTCCTTCGCCAGAAGAATATTGTCCGATATTTCCCTCCCCTTAACAAAGGCCGATTGTTCTGGAGATATCAGACCATCCATAAGGGGCTGCAACCGCTCAGTCAAGATCCGCGTGAAAATTTTGTTCAAGAAGGTACAAAGGCTAATAGGTCTAAATTCTGCAAAGGTTTTCGGTCTATCAGTTTTTGGAATGAGCACAATTAAAGTGCTCCCGATGGCCTTAGAAAGTGGAACACCACAGAAGAATTCCTGCACTGCTTGCAATAGGTCCCGAGCAATAATGTCCCAGCAAGACACATAGAAAAACCCCGAGAAGCCATCGACGCCAGCCGCGCTGTGACTATCCAACCCAAAAACTGCTCTCTTAACTTCTTCCATAGATACCGGATGCGTTAGCTCCTCATTCTGTTGTTGTGTCACTATAGACGGAATCGATGCTAACAGCCGGGTCACGGATGCTTCATTGTTAGCCCCGTCTGATCCGGAGAGGAGCTGCTGGAAAAAACTAGCTGCTCCCTGTCCAATGTCGTCATTTGTCTCAAGCAAATGCCCCTGGCTGTCCTGAATCTGGTGGATGGTTAGCCGCGACCGCTTGTTAAGAAGGGAAGCGTGGAAGAATTTTGTGTTAGCATCCCCCTCCTTTAGCCACCGAACCCGAGCTTTCTGCTTCCAGTAAGTTACAAGCTCGCAATCATCCAGCAGCCTCGACGCCAGGTTGTTGGCTTCAGGGATGACCACTTGTAGCTGAGTGGCCGGTTCAGGGAGTTTCGGTTCCCTTGTGGCAGAATGACCATGAGATACAACCTGGCTCGGGGTCCCCTCTGAAGGGGCGGGATTAGTAGTGTCCTGATTTTGCACTACCCGTTGTTTGTGCATTTTGTCACAGCCAAGCAGATTAGGGTTCTTTATCAGGGAAATTTCTGGTTTCTGGCGAGGCTCATTGGTTGCCATTGGCTGCTGCATATCAGGGTGGCTTGTCTCAGGGTTCTTGGGTAACCAGACTTGCGCGTGATGATCCGACCCCTGACTAGCAGCAGTCGGCGCCGGGTTGCTGATCTTGCATACGTCTGCAGTATGGCCAAGTTTATGACAGCAGCGGCAATAGTCAGGCACGTTTTCGTATTCAATTTTCTGCCAGAATCCAAAAGATCCGTTAACAATCCAGACGCGATTCGGGAGATCCTTAAGAAGATCTATTTCGACACAAAGTCTTGCTACGTTAGGCCTTGTAATGGCGGCTGTGGAAGCATCAAGCCGAAGAGGCTCTCCCACAAGTCTGCTAATGGAGAAAAGAGGGCCCTTGGCGAAAAAATGGACAGGAAGATTGGGTAGCCGAATCCAAATGGGGACGATGGAAGGTTCTGAGTCTACCGAGAAGGAGGGAGTCCACTTCAATACTCGCATTCCAAAACCCTGAAAGGACCAAAAACGACGAAGCCAACATCTATGGTAGTCTTCTTCATGTGCAAACCTGATGAGAACGTGGCGTGGATCCAGCAGGCCAAGAGTGAACGTCCCTTTGTAGCCAATGGTTAAAAATTCCTTCCGTAGAGCCTCCATGGAAGGCCGTCCCTTGGAGAACTTACCTACCAGGGCAAAACGGAAAGGGGAAGCCAACGATTGAATTTCATCAATGGTGAAAGTTACCGCAGGTTCTCCGCGATACACTTCTCTCGGTTTCAAGAATTGTGAGGATGGCAACGGGTTTGAGGAGGAGGCAAGGATATCGGCAAAGGAACGCTTGGATGGCGTGGGGTGCCCCTCACCCATGGGATGAAGGGCAGCCATGGATGGAGCTAGACTAGGGCTGGCGGCAACCCTAGCAAAAAAATAATTCAAACAAACACTAAAGCATCAGTTCTTCTTGATGTCACTTATCTTGTAGCAATAACAATGGCTGAAATTCTATTTTACCGGATGTATAGGTGATGTAGCATAATCATAGCTCTCTATATATAAGCTTCCTATAGAGGGCTGTGGGCCCCATGTATCGGATGCTGACATGGTGTGCTATGATTGGTCTATTTTTACACTTTTTCCTGTAGTTTCTACAGTAAAAATTCACTGTTCCGTGGTGGCCATGGTGTCACTTTCACTATAGAAACTACAGTACCAGTCACCAGGTCACTGTGCATAACTAAATTGGTGACCGGCTTACCGGGTCACCTGTACTTGATCTACTATTTGGCACTGTGTATCATGTGACTTTCACGTGACCTAGTTGATGTAGTGCATTCTGGGTCCCACGTGTAATGATGACACCGCGTGGTATTTTTGGCGGTCCCTTTAATTTGAACGATTAACTGTTCATTGATTTGATGTAATTACTGTAGATCAAACATAATTATTGCAATTTTGAATTGCTAGTTTTTTAAAAAATTTTGTGAAGTTGTTATTGTTCCTGATTAATTGTTTAGCACACTTGACACGATTTCCAAGTATTGTTGAGCACAATTTGTTACAATTGCTGAGGACGTTTTTGGTTGTACTGTATGTGATTAATTGTTATGTAAAATTGTATGATAAATCATGGATTATTAGTGGATTTGAGTGATAATTGGTATTATTATTATTATAACATCCTTTTAGCAATTTTATATGTTGAATTATAAATTAATATATGGACAATGGTATTTATTATGGATTTTTTAATTGCCATTGTTATTAGTTTTTGATGGTTGCATAGTGTTAATATTGTTGTCCATATGATTATATTATTTATTAACACGTGTCATTGTTGTATTTAAGTTTTTTTTTTCTAGTAGGAGAGGAGTAGGATTTAAGAAGCAAGAAGGGGGCAAGTGGTTTAGAATCTAGGAATCTCTAATTCTTGTGTCCATATTTAAGTTAGTTAACCATATTGTATAGTCTCTACGAATATTTAAGCTTTTGCCTTGAGGTTTTGATACTAGTATTTTAAGGCTTGACCAAACAGCTAGGAATTTAAGAAAAAAAAGATTAGGGACAAGCCAAAAAGTAAAAAAAAAAGATAAAGAAAGAATCTTTCTCAAGGGTTCAGAATAGGCATTGATCAGTATACATATGTTTACCCAATTTATTAGTTAAAGAGGCACATTAATATATTTTATCCTGTTGTATTTCGATAGTTATCCTTTTATATTATCTTTCAATTAAACCAAAAAATTAGAGAAATAACTTTCCAGTCATTTCTACGGTTGACAAAAAGATGCAAGGATATGATAAATTTATTTTTCAGTTTGCAGGGTTATTCAAATCTATCTACATAAAATCTTTAGACAGTGTCCATGAAATGCCTCAAAAATATAAATGTGTAAAATATAAATAATGCTAATAGTAGCACCTAATATCTTATAGTTAATTGGAAAGATTTTGATACGTGCATACATGATAAGTTAATAGAAAAAAAAGGTATGCTGTGATTTCGAAGAAAATAATCTTTGGGGATAATTGTGAGATAATACTATTCAATTGGCATATACCTGCAATCTCTGTGTTATATTATTTTTTTTGTTTGTTTCTTACTCTGGTGGATTTTGGTCTCAAATTTGTTGGCTAAAATCTATATTGAACCCTTAAATTATCGATGTACTCCCACTCTAGTTCATGAATTTTAATTTTAGACACTTTATTTTTAAAATGTGAAATTTATCCTACTAATAAGATAATAGGTAAGTGAGGGTCAAAGTTTAAGGATTAAAGTGAAATAAATTTCATACTTTAAGAGCTAAAGTGTCCAAAATTTAAATTTAAAGACAAAAATCGAATAGCTTTCATATTATATGGGGTAAAGTATCGAAAATTGAAATTTAAGAACTAAAATAGGAATTCGTCTATGTTTTAAGGGGTTCAAAGTGAAATTTAGTGAAACTTGTTGCAATCGTTTGTTCGTTACTAAATCCACTAATTTGTTGAAGGGCCATTTATCTCCAATGTTTTGAAGGAGCAAAACTATAATATAGCACAAAATCAACAGATTTAATATACTCATATGTGGGAAAAATGAGAGGTTCTGAAATAACTTTTTAGTGCACTTTTGTGATTTGCAAATCTCTGATACCACAGAAGTAAATAAAATATGTCACAATTTGTTTCCCTTATGATATAACGAGTCCCATCTCCCTCCACACCTAAAGTGATGGTCTAAGTACATAGAAAAAGAATTACTTTTTCCATTTTGGTTATATCTTGAAAATTTTATCGTCACTTTTTTGACTAGCTATCAAAAGGAAAGGTTGGTCTGGTTTTAGCCAAAGGAGGTAAAAAGACAAATAATCTCTATTATTTAGTTTGATAGGATAGTTTTGCCATTTTGGTGCAAAAATAAACATTGATCTCTATTATTAACCTTCTAATTCATGTAAGAAGTAATTTGTGTGCATGGCATATAACTTGGAACAAATTTAATTTACCACACAAAATAAAACCAAATAAAGAAAAAGCTCTAAAGCTTAGATAGAGAGATCAATTTTGAACTTTTGGTTAAAGTGTTAGAAGTAAAAATTTCATGCTTATGTGCCATCCTATGTCACATATTCTAAAGCAAAAATCCATCATAGCATAGCCTTAAAATAAAAGTGAAGGGCGAGATTCAAACGAGGAAAGGCTTATGGTGGATACTTAGGCACCCAGAGACGAGGAAGGGTGTAGTAATCGACGAAATGCTTTGGGGAGTTGAAAATAAGCATAGATCCGGAGATTCCCGAATAGGGCAACCTTTCGAACTGCTGCTGAATCCATGGGCAGTCAAGAGACAACCTGGCGAACTGAAACATCTTAGTAGCTAGAGGAAAAGAAAGCAAAAGCGATTCCCGTAGTAGCGGCGAGCGAAATGGGAGCAGCCTAAACTGTGACGACCCCACCTCCCCCTGAGGCGTACCAAAGGGTTTGGCGGACCGCCTGCCCAGCTCTCGCCAGGACTCACTCACTCAAATCATGTGCACACATCCATGAACCATAAATAACACCCACAATTCAAACTTATAATTTACATTGATACAAATCAAGGTACAAAGCCTCAATATACTCAAACTGGTTCAAGGCGTATACAATCCAAATACAAAACATTCTATTCGAGGAATAGCGCGAGTACAAGTCAAAAGTCAAAAGTCAAAAACAACTAGACTATGCTAGTCTTTACATGTCTCATGTCTTGCTCGTATCCCCTGTAAGGAAAACAAATAGCGTGGTATGAGCTAAAAGCCCAGTGAGGTTCCAAATAGCAAATTGACCATTATTTATAAGTACAAGTTTTCGATATAACAAAGTAACGAGCATGAAGAGTTTGTAAACGTGAGCAATAACACGTCAAATAGAAATCTCAAAATGAGCGAGTGTAAAAGTTTTTCAAAATCAACAATAATCCAATAAGCAATAATCATTCCAAAGCATAAGGATACGGATGGCTCTCAGGAGCCAACTTCCCATTTCATCATCAGGAGCCTGATCACGTAATAGTTGACACTCCGTCAACTTTCAAGTAAAGGAACCAATCCAGTAGAGCACCACTTACACGACTCTCCGTCCACCATTCACACCCCCTACTGGGCCCAAAATCCTCAATAAACATGGGTGGTAATACTCGAGTATACCGGATTGCCGAGGAGATAACACTCCACTCGACCTTACTAGTGACCCAGGGTTTGTTATCTAATCGACCAGACCCTTGCCGGCTCGACTCGATTAATTAGCCACAGGGTTTCTGGAATTCCAGGAAGTGCGCGCATCATAAACAAGTATGTCAAGTCAATTGCAACAATAAACAAGTACATATCATGTAAGGGCAAGTGCGATAAAGTACACTCTTGCCCTAACAATTCACGCATGTAGCATGTAATCATATTGGTCACGTATCAAGTACAAGTATCAAGCTCAATTCAGTATTTGAAAGCACTCACCAAAAGATATAGTGCCTTTACTGATCACTTTCAGGTTATACTCCGGGTTCGGAGTCCAAATCTGCGATAAAACTCAGTTTGAGAACTTTGAAACATGACTAGAATTCGAAACTTATACGTTTCGTTCAATAAGAATCAATAAATAGAAATTCACTTGGAGAGTACTCGTGAAACACTTGCTCGCCTTTTTAAATAGTAAAACTTTGTAATATTTATACTTGAAATTGTCTTGCGAGTTGAAAGTACAAGGAAAACATACTTCGAGCAATCATTATTTCATTTCTCAAGGGTACAAGTTCGGCCAAGTCCTAACATATAACCCTCGATAAACAAGTAGCAAAGGTCCTCGAGCGTAAATTTGGGCAGCATGCCCTTTGTGTTTACCTAATTTTCCAGCCATTTAGGCTTCATTATTTGTCCTCAGCCACAACCCAAAGTCACACATATCATAATTCAAGTCAAAAGCCGTTCCATAGGCTCACAACATCATAAGAATAAGAATCACAATAATCACAAGTGCAGAAATACAATCTAGTAAAAGACAGATTCAACGTGTGGATGCGGAAATAACATATCCGAGGATACACTTATCGGATTGAGGCGCAACCTATGCCGTTTTGAAGCTAAGACACAGGGCTACAATGTTCATGAAGATCACTTAGTCCAGTTTCTAATGCAACTTAGTCAAATCCTCAAATTACAGAACCAAAATCCAACTCGTCGGCTATAAAATCGCATTGTACTGTAATGGTCATATTTCAGGTTACAAAAGTCCGATTCAGGTTTTCTTAGAGGTGTTTGAAAGCTAAGTCAGAATACTACAACTTTCATGTTTTGGCAAAAAGCTAAATCAGTACGGATCCTAGTGAAAAAACGTGATAAACTGGACAAACTGACCAAACGGACTGCTGG